CTTATTTTCAGGGGGTTCTCTTGGTGGGGGGAAGAGAACGTGGAGGCCATAGCTGGGAGAACCAAGCTGTAGCTAGATTTAGGGGTGAGGAGGCACAGGAGAGGGAGGCTCATTGTAGCCTCTGCCCATGACAACCCGTCCTTTCACGGATGACAATGATGGGATGAGGGAAGGGAGGCAGGGATCATGGATATGCAGATCATTTGCCAGCTACTTCATCTCCTCCTCCTCCTCCCCCAACCATTTTCCCCTCACACACAAGGTTAGGGGCAGGCCCAGACCCCTGTTCCTCCTGAAGGAGGCTGATTTATTGGAGTAGATGAGCTTAGAGGCTAGTATGTACCACAGAAAGACTGGGGTGGGGGGAGTCTTCTAGCTCAGTAACTACAAGAAGGACTTGGGAAACCTGGATTCTAGTCTCTGTTCTAACATTAACTATGGGCATTGGTTTTATTTTCTATGAAAATGAAGCAGCTGGACACAGTAGTCTCGCAGGCTTGTTCTAATTCTAACAGTCTTTGAGATTTGGGCTCCTTTTGACTCCACCTCAGCTCAGCCTCGATTTCAGTATGAATTGAACAAGCCATGCTCTGTGACCTTGGGGAAGTCACTTCCCCTATGTAGTACCTCAGTTCCCTTCTCTCTAAAACCAAGGGAAAGTGGCACAGTGTAATAAATAGAATACTGGATTTGGAGCATTGAAAACCTGCATTTGAATCCCCCCCTCTCACTTACCAGCCATATTATCTGGGGCAAGTGATTTAACCTCTTTTACTCTCAATTTCCTTATCTATAAAACAAGGAGGTTGGAATAGATGGCTTCTGAAGGCCCTCTGAGTTCTAAATCTATGATCCTATGTTTCTAGGGAGTTGGACTAAATGATCCAATTATAATTTATCAATTAAAATTATTACAGGTCTAATATTGTCATGAAACGTTGAGGATTTGGGGGGAGAGAATTTGGTTTCAAGTCTTCTTTTAGCTTCCGCCTTAGAAGCATCTATTAGATTTCTGTATGGGTTACTACTCCATGTTTCCAATTGGCCTAATATTTTATCTCATAAATATACACAACAATTGCTCATTAAAAATCATTTTCTTTTCCTGAATAAGGGAAGTGTTTGGCTTCCTAAAGTCACTTTTCCCCCTTCTTTTCCTTTTTTTCTGATGGTCAGGACTTTTCTTCTCCAGTTCTTATTTAAGGGGGGCTTTTTCCACTGCTAATGCCTCTAGTCATTGTCACTCCTTCTCAGAGCAATACCCGGATCTCCTGAAAAGATGGACAGATATCTACAAATAGAACAGTGTTTTTAAAAGTCCTCTCAGGCCCCAGCCCCCTACCCCCAAACTCCTCGCCATGTTTTCCAGTTTTTCAGTCCACAACATATCTATGTAGGTATCACGAACATAAGCAGACATCCATTCATACACACACCCTTTAGAACACTGAGAATGATAATGATCATAGTTAGCATTCATATAGTGCCTTCAGGTATGCAAAGAGCTTTAAATATATTATCTCACTTGAACCTTCCAGCAACCTTGTAAGAAAGGTGCTGTTAATATCTCTCATGTTACAGATGAGGATACTGAGACTGAAGGAGACTAAGTGACTGGCCCAGAGTCACTCAGTCAGTGAGTGTCTGGAGTGGATCCAAATGCAACTCCTTTTGACTCCAAGTCTATCACTCTCTACACTACACCAGCTAGCTAGCTGCCCTGAGACAAATCGGTATTGTGTTTATACAAACCGTCACAACGACAATCTCAGCAGAGCCTCACTATAAGCATTGTCCATGCGTCTAGTGACCTGCGTCCTTAGGACAGGTTACTAGAGACCAAAGTAACGGGGCAAGTTTGGGCAGAAGCCTAGTTAGGGTAAGCACCACCAAGGCCTGAGCCTGAGCAAGGAAACAATAATAACAGGTCACACAAGGAAACTAATAGGATGGCACATGATCTGCATCTAAAATGGTACTAGATGAAAAGGCCATTAGCCTTAACATAGGACCACCATGCCTTGGAAGATTCTAGCTGAACAAAGGGGCACCTATGGGCATCCATACTAAAAGATCTAGAAACAACAGCTTTTATCTACATCATCAAGGAAAGAATAAAAGGAACATTCATCTGCCTCACACTAGGAAAGGGATCTCTTCCAGTGGATTGATTGCAGTTGAGTGTATGGATAGGATGGGTGCAAACCCTATAGCCAGCTGCTTAGCCTTGGGTATTGATGTAAATTACTTCTACACACAGGAAAAAGTCATGAACACTGCTGTGGGAAAATTCTTAATTCTAGAAGAATCTTTTAGAGATATGCTTGGTAAAAATTACTTTTGTGGAGTACATGGGGATCATGAATTAACACATATAAAGAGCTCTGAGAACTTTAAGTCAGTATGTGAATACCACCTATGATCATTCCTATTACCCATTGTTATAAGGAGAAAGATCCGGACCTATTGTCTATGCATCTAAATCCAACGGGGAATGGAGACAATTTTTCAGATAAACAAAACATTTGTTTTAATTATTAGACATTTCAGGCAAAAGTAAAGGACTAGAACAAAATTTTCTGGATAAATTGCCTTAATTTTCCACTTCACTACCAATGTGTAGAAATCCAAGAGCAACATATAGCACAGGCAACCTTGTACTTCTCTCAGACTCACCTATAGCTCCACTTCAGAGCTGAAAAGTCCATTGCCTATTGGTTACTTTTTATTGGTCACATTTTTTTATTGTAGTCACAGTAAAATGACAACAGGTAAAGTAGGCACTGCCTACTTTAAAAAGCATAAAACTCTTTTTGCCCACTTCCTATGAGATACAGATCTAATTATATGGCAGAGTCTAATAGTGATGATAATATTTGACATTTTTCTTTTATGTAATAGCACTTTAAGGTTTACAAAGTGCTTTACATATATGATCTCATCTGAGCCTAGAATGTAATGCCACTGAAGGCAGGAATTGTTCTATTGTTGTCTTTTTATTATCAGGCCCTGGTCTCACATAGTGTCCTGCACAGAGTAGCTATTTAATAAATGATTGATGAATTGAATCAAATTGTTGTTTAAACAGTCGACAAGGTTAGCCTTCTTGCCAGGAAACTGAAGGAAGGTGGGGAGGGAGGTGGAAGTTTTAACAATGAAAGTAATTTCCATTTATTTGTGGTTTTAAAATATTTTAAAATTTTTATCAGGATCTTGCTACAAAGAGATAAAATGAGGTATATAGGGGAGAAAATTCAAATGAAATTCTCCTGCTTCATCATATTTAAGAATTGTTAACTCAAGCAGTAGAAAAATTAGACATGTCTCTGTTTATAACAAAGTAACAAGGTCTCTTCTTGCTTCATTTAAAAGTTTCTTCAGTAGTGGCTCACTTTAAAATCACATTACCACGTTTCTATTTCTGTCCCACAGACTCCAGAGCCTTTCAGTATTAAATTTTTAACATGGCATATCTGGTGACAAGACTTCCCACAGCTACACAACTAGTGGGCTTAAGAAAAGAGCCCGTAGAATTTGGTTACAGACTTACTATCTATGCATTTATGACATCGATTTAGAACGACTTTAGCAGGTTAGATAGAAATTCAACACGTCCACAGCAAGTAGCACTCTAAAGGAAAATCCTGAGTTGCAACTCTTCTCTTTTGTCAATTCTTCAAGGTTGGAATAGCCGAAGTCACACACGGACTGTCTTCTAGGCCCTTAGACATCCTGAGCTCACCTGCCATCCCTAAAAGGTTCACTATTTATCAAATACACAAAAATCTTAGGACATTCTCACTTCTCTAGGCATTGACCAAGATACAACTTAAAAGCAGTTAAAGCTTTGAAATTATACATCTAAACACACTTGATAATTTGTCCTGAATTTTAGGACAATTTCATAGCTGGTGACTTTTATTTGATTGTCATGCTGTTGTCATCTAGTCCAGAGATGGCAGAATATATCAGGGCAAGGATATATCGTTTAAATCCTAACCAACTCTATCTAAGAAGCCAATTGTGCCAGGCCCGTGTAGGGACAGCCAATGTATACCTTTTTAAAAGCCCCAAACATGGAATGAGATAATAATACTAATAGAACAGTTACATGGCACTTTGAGGTTTCCAAAGTATTTAACATATTATCCCATTTGAGCCTCACAACAATCTCATGAGGTAGGTACTCTGGACATTATTATCCCCATTTTACAAGGAGGAAACTGAGGCTCAGAAAGGTTCATTAACTCACCCCTGGTCACACAGCTATGTGTCAGAGGCAGGATATGAACTCAGGATTTCCTGAGTACAAGACCACTACTCTATTGTGTCACATTGGCTTTCTAAAGGAGACGAGGAAGAATTTCAGTGTCTCTTTGAGGGTGACTTAATTGTTATTCAACTCTTCCCAAATAGGTATTTAAACTAGGTGGTGTAGTGGATAGAGGACTGGGCCTGGAGTTAGGAAGACTCATCTTCCTGTTCAAATCTGACTTCAAATGCTTACTAGCCACATGACCCTGGGCAAGTCACTTAACCCTGTTTACCTCAGTTTCCTCATCCGTAAAATGAGCTGGAGAAGAAATGGCAATGCCAAGAAAACCCCAAATGAAGTCATGAAGAGTTGGACATGGCTGAATAACAACAAAATATATCCTCCAAAGTATTTTCTGTCTTCCTTTTCCCTTTCCTTTTTCTCTCTCCCTATGGGTAGTGGTGATGTGAGGGTAGACTGAAGAAGAAGAGATTTCTACCTCTCATTCTCCTCTCCTCAACGCAAAGCTCTAAGAGATGGCTTTTCCTTGTCCATCACCTACCCTCATCCACCCTCCCCAATACTCCCACTTAAAAAAGAATTATCAAAAGCCTGTCTTATCACATCACTTGAGTGACTCTCAGAGGTTCTAACAGCATTAAGAATGGCTCATTTCTTCTCTTGGTGCTCTGGGACACCAGAAGTCACAAGGAGGCCTAAGAGAGAAAAGTTCGAGACACTTAAATCAGAAGAGATTGTAAGGATATTCATCATCAAAAGCTGTTCTTAAAAGGGGTTATTTCCCAGCAAATATACAAAAGCAATCTGCCACAAAAAGAGATGATGCTGCTGTCACTGGTCCAAGAGGTACACTGGATCTCCCACTTTGATTGTTCCTGGATATTCCAGGACATAATACTGTCCAAAGAGAGGTGCCTTGCCATACACCTTTTGGTCAGAGGGATCACACTGCCGATAACTGTAAAGAGAAGAAGACCATTTATGAATCATGGGTGAAGTAGAAGCAGGTTCCCAAACAGCAGATATTTTCTTCCTACTTAATGTTAATAAAACACAACAGAATGGCGAGTCCTCTCTCAGGTACCATCTTTTGCTACTGTCTTTCTCTTCTTTGGACACCGATAAATTAAAGACTCAACATGTTACCATATCTAGACCTTCCCCATCCTCAAAATCCCATATTTCTTTCTGCTGATTTACCTGTTTTTGTTAATGGTGCTATCATTCACCAAGTTACCAAGCCTTGGAAACATTTTTGATTTCTCTTTTTTGACACCCTCCATTTTCAGTCAGTCACCAAGTCTTGCTGATTTATCCTTCAAAGTGTCTCTCAGATCCATCCCTTCCTTTCAGTTCTGCTGACATCATTCCAGTTCAGACTCTTATTATCTTGTACTTGGACCATTGCAACAGCTTTTTACTGGTCTCCATGAACTTAAGTCAATTTCCTCACCATCACTCCCTTGCTGTTCCAATCCATTCTGCACACTAGATTAATCTTCCAAAAGCATTCATCCTGCACACTAGATTCATTTTCCTCACATAATGCTCTGGCCAAGTCATTGCCCCTTTCAACTTGACCAAAATCTATTAAACAAGTCTTATGTGCAAGGCACATAAAGAGCTGAATTCATGTCCTTGAATGTCATACATCCTCTTGGTCTTGTTGGCTTCCATTATACCATGAAGCCAAATGGAGGAAGAAGTTTATGTATGGGTTCTGTGTGGGCTGAAATACAAGAGGAAAAAAAGTGATGTCGAGGGTCAAGTAGCCTGGCTATGCTAATGGTAGAGGCCACAGGAATAAAGTTGAAATGCCAGGCTCCTGGTCATACCTGGTTGAAACCACTGGGAGACACCCTATGGGAGACTATACCACAACTCTTACCTTTCCATCTGATATCCTGGAGTCAGAAGGACCTGAGTTCAAATCTAGCCTCACACATTTATAAGCTGTAAAATTCTGGCAAGTTACTTAACCTCTGTCTGTCTTAGTTTCCTCAGCTGTAGTAGTACCTACCTCTGAGGGTTGTTAAGGATTAAATGAGATATTTGTAAAAATGCATAACATAGTGCCTGGCACAAAGTAGGTATTATATAAAAGCTTATTCTTTTCCCTTCCCTCAGACAAGAGCCAGTATCATTTGAATCCTCTATGACAAAGGACAGTCCTAAAACCAGTTCACTTAGATACGTACTATGGACCCTCTGGACATTCTGGAATGACTGTTTTCTTTGTGGCTAAGTGTTGCTTTTGTATAATATACAATTTTATAAAATTTTTGTTGGGAATTATAAAAAATTATGTATGTATTTATTATACTACATATTATATAACATATACATTATGTGTATACAGGTATATATTTTGTATTATTATTACTATCACTAGTGTTACATTGGGTTATTTTCCCCCTTCATTAAATATTGATATTGTTACTCTATAAGAGAAAGAGAATAGAGTATTGGAGAGAAACATTTTAATTGTCATAGGAGAAAGTTAACGGTCACGGCTAAGAGAGAAAGGACTAAGAAAACTTCTTTACTGAAAAACTGATTGAGTTAACCGTCATCTTTGAGAAAAAATGGAGAGATATTTTGAAATAAATGAGTTTAACTCTTATCTTGTGATGGAGATATTCTGTGGAGAAGATATTCTGAAGAGAAATCTGGAGAGCTTTTGATTATCACCCTGAGAGCACTGAATGATAAAACTATAGTTCTGATGTATGTTGAGAATGAAGCAATTGCAGTTTATTGTTGGAGATAACTCTGGCTATGATTTTTCTCAACTGATACATTACTGAAATATTTAAACATGTCTTTTTATTGTTTGTTACACTGTCAGTAAATTTCTTAGCTAGTGACATCAATGTGTGTCTAAGCCATGAAAATAAGATTTTATTTTAAGATGAATGAAAACCTATGAGAAAAATAGGTTTCTCTGATTATTTATAAATTTGGTAAGTAATTGATTGGTTATTAAGAGAAATTGCGCATCTCTATTCCATTTGTGCGGAAATTAGGGAATAAACCCCTTGATTATCTTAGGACCTATGTAGAGAATAATAAGGAAATGAGCCCATAAGTAACAGTAGTGGTTGACTTGGTTGCTGACTAGAATAGTTCACCACACCCCACACAAGTCCGCATGAATATTGTTATCTCCAATCTTATTATACACATACTGTTGCAACATCTAAATGTATTGTGTTTTGTATATATTTTTGCAGTCAAGGAAGCAGTCTATCAAATGGTATTCCTCATTGTGTTACATTTACTATTGATGTGAATTTGATGTTCTCAGAACGTTTTGTTGCAGAGATTTAAACATTGACTATGGGTAGAAATGTTACACCACCCACAACAGCCCTTTCTGCAGAAACTATGGTTATTATTACTGTGTTTTTAAGAGGTAAGAGATACATGATTTAGACATAAAGGATGATACCAGAAGCAAATTAAGAGAGCAAGGAACAGTTTACCTGTTGGATCTGTGGAGAAGAGAAGAATTTATGACCAAACAAAGAATGAGATAGAAAATGGATAATTTTGATTATATTAGGTTTAAAAAATTTTGCACAAACAAAACCAATGCAACCAAGATTAGAAGGAAAGCAGAAAGCTGGGAAACACTTTTTACAGCAAGTATATCCGATAAAGGCTTCATTTCTCAAATACATAGAGAACTGAATCAATGTTTTAAGAATATAAGTCATTCTTGTGGAATGATCCAACCATTTTCGAGAGCAATTTGGAACTATGCCCAAAGAGCTATAAAAATGTGCATACCCTTTGACCCAGCAATAGCACTTCTAGGGCTGTATCCCAAAGAGATCATACAAATGGGAAAAGGACCCACATGTACAAAAATATTTATAGTTCTTTTTACGGTGGCAAAGAATTAGAAATTGAGAGGATGCCCATCAATTGGGGAATGGCTGAGCAAGTTGTGGTATATGAATGTAATGGAATACTATTGTGCTATAAGAAATGATGACCAGGCTGACTTCAGAAAAACCTGGAAAGACTTGTATGGTCTGATGCTGAGTGAAGTGAGCAGAACCAAGAGAACGTTGTACACAATAACAGCCACATTGTGAGATGACTAATATTGATAAACTTAAGCCTTCCCAGCAATGCAAGGATCTAAGACATCTCCAGAAACCTCATGATGGAAAATGCCATCCACATCCAAAAAAAGAACTATGAAAGTTGAATTGTTATTTTTTTTCTCTTCTGTTGAGTTTTGTTTCCTTTTTCTGGTGGTTCCTCCTATTGGTTTTAATTTTTACTTACAACATCACTAATGTGAAAATATGTTTAATAGGAATGTAAATGTATAGCCTGTATCAGATTGTGCGTCATCTTGGGAAGGGTGGTAGGGAGGAAGAGGGAGAAAAATTTTAAACTCAAAAGACTACGGAAGTGATTATTGATAAATTAAAATAAATTAATAAAAAAAATTTTAAAAAGAATACAAGTCATTCCCCAATTGACAAATGGTTGGAAGATATGAACAGACAGTTTTCAGAGGAAGAAAACAAAGTATCTATAGTCACATGAAGAAATGCTCTAAATCATCATTAATTAGAGAAATGCAAATTAAAACAACTCATATCTATCAAATTGGCTAATATTTCAGAAAAGAAAAGTGATAAATGTTGGAGAAGATGTGAGAAAAATGGATTACTAATGCACTGTTGGTGGAGTTGTGAACTGATCCAGTCATTCTGGAAAACAACTTGGAACTATAACCAAAGAGTAATCAAACTGTACATACCCTTTGATCCAGCAATACCACCACTAGGTCTGTATCCCAAAGAGATCATAAAAAAGGAGAAAGGACCTACATGTATAAAAATATTTATAGTTAACTGTTTTTGTGGTGGCAAAGAATTGGAAATTGAGGGAATGCCCCTCAATTGGGGAATGGCTAAACAAATTGTGGTATATGAATGTAATGGAATACTATTGTGCTGTAAGAAATGACAAGCAGGTGTATTTCAGAAAAACCTGGAAAGATTCACATGTACTGATGCAAAGTGAAGTGAGCAGAACCAGGAGAACATCATACACAACAACAGTAACCTTGTGTGATGATCAACTATGATTGACTCAGCTCTTCTCAACAATATAATAATATAAGACAAGTCCAAAAGACTCACGATGGAAAATTCACATCCAGAGAAAGAATTGGTGGAGTCTGAATATGGATTGAAGCATAATATTTTCCCTTTCTTTTTTGCATTTTTTTCCTTTTATTCTGTTGCTTCTTTCACAACATGACTAATATGGACATGTTTTACATGATTGCACATACATAACCTATATCATGTTGTCTATCATCTTAGGGAGAGAGAAGGGAAGGGAGAGGGGGAGAATAGTTGGAACTCAAAATTTTATATAAAAGGAGAATGTTAAAAAAATGGTCTTTACGTGTAATTGGGAAAAAAACAAAATACTATTTAAAAGGGGGTAAAAAGGTAAAAATATGAGGTCATTCACAGTTAAATGCAATAATGGAAGGAGTCCATATTGTAAGAAAAAATGATATTAAACTGCCATTTCCCCAGAAAAAAAAAAGACAGAGTTAACTGTCATCTGTGAAAGTCTATGAGAGGATCAAGAGTTAGCTGTCTTCTTGTGAGAGACTGAAATTAAAGGGATTTAACTATCTATGTAAGAGATTGGAATTGAGGGAGTTTACCAGCATAGACAGTCATCTGGGAAGAAACTGTGAGAGGACGAGAAGAGTTTAACTCTCATTTTATGAAGTGAAATGTTATGGAGAATTCCTTAGAGCTGAATGAGTATCGTTAGAGGACTATTTCCAGAGCAGTTAGTCTGGCAGCATTGGTGAAAATATTCAATTTCATATGTCTTTCCTCTGATTTTTATGAGCATAGAAGTGATTCTCGCTGTAAATTTTACCCCTTGGATATACATTATAAATAC